GCGCCTACGAGGCACCTAGCGACTTTTAGAACACTCTCCTTGTTTAGCTAACACTTTTTTCTTAGTCGTTAGCAAATGAGTATACTAATTAATAATTAAATAGCCATTTGGAGTTATGGTGAAAATATTATATTTGAAACATAAATTTTTTTTTTAGGAATCATATATACCCAAAATGCTACTTCATTGAATTCCTTTAAAGAATTAGTGTTCGAGCTCCAAAAGATAATCAAATAAACTATTGATGAAGCAAACTATTGTGTCATTTTTGCAATTAGTATTCGGCCATGTGTATTTCAACGAATGTAAATAAAGTATTATAAATTATTTGTATGCATATAATATTAAAAATATAAGTTAGATAATAATATTATATTTCAAACATATAGTATTATAAGTAATATTTAAGCATATAATATGAAAATTATAAGTATGTTTTCATATTTGATGATTGGTTAAAATAAATAGTTCATAACGATTGATTGCATATGAATCACTATATTGATTGCATAGAATATGATAAATAAAGTATTTTTTTAATTTTTTTTTTGTAATTTTTAGGGATCCAGATAGCACTTTCGTGCAAAATATGATATAAAAGTAGACCAATAAATATACAAATACAAATAAAATACAAAAGACGAACAAGAACAATCTAAATTGATTCAAGACGATAAAACTACAAAAAATAACAACAAAAACATGCAAAACATACTTTTTATGTGCACAGTGTTTTGCTAGAGATGTCACTCGAGTATAATGGACTTGACTCTAGTACTTCATGCTCAAACTCGTGCTCATTAGTAGCATCTAAATAGAAGTGTTATTTGAGTCGAGTACCTAGTGACGGATCTACGAATTTCATATAAGGGAACCCAATTTCTAATGTTAGATCACAAGCTTGTAGTTTAAGTCAAAACGCTCATTTCATACAAAATGTATTTATTAATAATAAATATCGATATATGTACCACCAAGTTTTTAAAAACTTAGAATCAGTATCATCTTCAAACTTCTAAAAAAAATAAAAATGAGATTCATGTATTTATAATTTATGATTAACATCAATAATTTATGAAATTAAGTTTTTCTTTTTTTTTGTTGAAAATTTAATTTAAATAGAATTTTTGCAGTACATTGCCTAAATTTTTTGTTGATGAGAGCTTTTTTTTTTGCCGGAACGATAGAGATGATATATATTAGACAAAGCGAACCAAGTTCGAATATAACATAGACAACCAAATATAAAACTGAGAGGTACTGTGAAGTACCTAGAACCTCAAAGACTAGAGAAGTCAGGCAACAAAACACAGAAAAAACAGAGGTTATGCATCTTTCCACTACCCAAGGCCTAGCTATAATACATATCCCCCTCTACACTAGAAACAAAGAAGAAAGAAAAGAAAAATAACTTCCAGGCACACAACTAACCAAAACCAGAAGAAATGCCTGAGATTGAGGTGAACTCCTGCCAGTCTTTGAGTGCTGCAGCAATCATAATCTGCTCAGGTATTAGGGAGTGATTAAAGACCCAAAAGTTTCTAGATTTCCAAAGCCACCACAACAAGTAGGTGGACAATTGGATTCTATCAACCACTACTTCAGTTTGCCTTATTGAGCTTATCTGACTCCACCAAGTTTTAAGAGTGTGAGTGTGGTTTGTGAGTCCATCCCAATGTACAAGTCCATTGTCCCAGATTCTGGAAGCTCGAGGGCAAGAGAACATCAGATGATCTACTGTTTCCTGTTGCTCTCCACACAGTGACCAGATTGGATCAACATTCACACCTCTTTTCCTCAAATTCACAGCCACTGGTAGAGTGTTTGAGATGCATTTCCAAAGGAAATGTTTGATTTTCCCCTGAATTATCTAATGCCAGCATCTGTGAAACATCTGATGAGGATGAATGATACTTGAGCTTGGTTCATAGATATCCAGTTGACAAAAGTTTCAGAGCAGCCATGTGTTCGTAAGTGCTGGCCACTGTGAATTTCCCTTTTGGATCTAATCCCCAAAGCCATCTGTCTGATCTCTCAAGATTCAAGGTGTTGATGTTGAGGATGGATGCACTATCTTCTGAGTCAAACATTTGATCCACTAGCCAGTCATTCCATTCTTTCCCATCATTCTGCAGTAGGTCCTTGACCCAAATTTAATGACCCATTGCAATTTCAATCAGAGTAGGATGAGACTTCTTCAACCCAGGCACCCAGTTCACATCATCAATTTTGGTTGATAGGCCATTTCTGATTTCCTTTTTTTTTTTTTT